TCAGCTGATAGCAAGTGTTTATAGCAGCTAACAGCTAGAAAGGCTTTCAATGGTCCCCTTTTTCCCAGGAAGTCGGAAGCAAACTGATGTGTTCGACACTCTTGTATACACCGGTAAAACAATTCACCACTGTAATGAGTGAACGATTGGCCAAGTTGACAAGACTGTCAATAGTTACCTCTTTCTAAGATTACTTAGAAGAGGCTGATGTTTTTGCTTCTCTCGTATATACCATTACCGGTTTACTACTGAAACGAGTGAACGAACTGTAAAGTGACTGTTTCCGTTTCACTGATATTGTCGGGTACCCGGCGCCTGACAGTCAAGCTATTTATCAGAGAACCGCCTTCTTAGAAAAACCGAGGATATCATTCCAGTCGACCGAGTTAGTAACCAAATTGCAGGCTAATTCACTTACGAAATGATACCGCACCGAATGAACTTTTTACGCCGAATGCATGTTTGATGCACTGCGCCGTCAATTTATCTTAGCCTTCAGTATACCAGTACACTATGCAAATACGTGGACATATGCGTACAAATGACTCATAAGCAAATTCAGTAAGATATTCAGTTCTCAACAGAAAAGGCACTCCAGAATTCAGTGCTTCTCATTGAGCCGGTTTCATTCTCCAAACCAATGTAACTTTCCTTTACTGTGGACTGAGCCCTTTTTTATGGGTTTTTGCATCTATACAATACAAAAACGCGTATTATCGAGGGACATCCTATGTGTGCATGCCTGTGTTTTCACCTGCATCGATTTTTTATCTCAAGATCTACAAAACCCACAAGGCTGAAACTTCGGAAGCTTAATCTACATGTATGTGCGGGTCCCCATCTGCTCTTGCCCGTGTGGTTCCCAAGTACGAGCCCGTGCAAATTTTTAGCCAGGTAGCTGAAATTTAAAGGGAGCATTCACAGGCCGCGTGAAACTTGATAAGTTCGGACCCAGTCCCAGATGAACGTGGTTCCCTCGTACGGCCCGTGAAAATTTTTCGCGAGTAAATTGTTA